CGGAAGCGTACCCATCCCGTAGCCATCGTTATCGCGATAGTACGAAGTACGTGTCTCAAAGACGTTTAAAGGAGTTTATGTAATTATACTGGAACTCACAAGCACTATATGCCGTTGTACGTCGAGGAGGTATCAAACAACTGATGAGTGCAACAATTTAATCGACATTAAGTCGCCCAACCTTCCGTGATTCTCGAGCGTTTCATGAGCGGTCCGTTCTCGTAGTCTGAACTGTTCCCTCCGTTCCCGCCACCGCTAGAATGGTTCGTTCTGATATCACCGACCGTACCACTTCCCGGCGATGGTAGATTTGTCGGTGTTATGCTACCCGAGTGGGACGGAGGTGGATTACTGCTCGGTCTACTTGATACCAAATTCAGCGTCTGAGGTCCCGGATGAGATACGTGATGTGGCGGCGGGGCACCGGTACTGGACGACGGACCGATGTTTAAGTTTGTATGATGTAGACTGCTGGCGTTGCTGGGTCCACCGTTGGATCCACTGTTACCGTGAGGATCTCTGGGTGGACTTATCGGTTCACTTTTTATCTTTACAGGTAAAGGCGACGTAGATGGTGGTGGTGTACTGCTCGATACAGCTAGATGAGGAAGACTACTGCAACATCAAAAAAATTTTGTGATACTAAAAGGGAAAAATTCACGCAAATGATTAGAGATTTAAAAAAAGAAGATGTGTGAATATATATATATATATATATATATATGAATATTTATCATACAATCTAGTCTAGCAAGAAACTGTAATATTTCCCTGATTTTACATCCCAATCTTGTATCTATTTGACGAGAGCGTGCAATCATGCATAGAATGATTGAATGGGCAAGTTAATCAAATCATGACATGAATCATGGTAATGTACTTTTGATAACGAATCATCACATAACGGTACCTGATTTATGTAATTATGCAAACAACCTATATGTAAATGAAAATGAAAGGATATCCAACACTCATAATTTAATGACATGCCAAACACTGTTGTAACCGAAAAAAAACTATAGCGCTCCAGTGGTCGATATATTACATTACAACTAGTAATAATAGGCCCCGTGCGAGTTCCATTAAATAATAATGCATATTGATAAACTTATAAAGAAACAAGCAAGGAGAAGAAAGAAATAAAAGAAGAACTACGAGAATAAAAATTATAATTAAAAAAAAATTTCGAAATTTATGTTGAAACTAAATGTCGATCGAGACTAATCGAGACTAATTTCTTTTAATTATATTACAGCACGTATGTGAGTTGTAATCAGATTTAATGAAACGTGTATATAATATTTCATTGCATGTGCGCAATTTCTGAATTCAATTAGTACCAAAATTCTATCGCCTATCATCTAGTATGAATAAAAGTCATACCAACTGAAAGTCATACCAACTGGACATATAGCTTTCTTTCACAACAATAATTATGAAATATGATTTACCTGATGCCGGATATGGTGGCTGCCGAATATAACTCATCAACAACGTACCTCTGATGAGTGGGCCATGCAAGGCTCCCAAGATCCGAAGAGTAATCTGTTGGTCCAAAACTAGAGTATCCGGCTGGTACTGTTGGTGTTTGTAACGCTACTACAGGTGTATTCAATGCAGACTGCGTATGGGCATTCTGAAAGCATAAAAATATATTAATTCCACATAAGTTCTAACATTTTTCTATTTATTCAGCGACTAACAAGAAATTTTCCTTCTCTCCAGTATTCAAAATATTTTCGATAATAAGAGAGAATTAATTTTTCTAATCGTATTTCAGAATTCAACTATTGCCTCATATTTTAATATCATTGTAAATAAGATAATCTTTAAAACTATTATTATTAATCTTTTCAGAAACACAAGAAAAAATGTAAATTATAAAACGAGTGAATTTTTTTAGAATTTTTTTCTTTAAACGCTTATTTAAAGTTAAAATTAGTAAGACAATTACATCGTAATTAGTGTCTTCGGAGAGAGGTTGCGCGAGCGGTGTCGGTATAACCACTCGCAGGTTAGCCCTGTGAGGATGAGGTGGTGGCGGCGGTGGTGGAGGTTGCGGCGAATGCCTAGACGGATTGCTGCCTTTGTTCGCACTACCTCCACCGACTCCGAGCGCGGGCGATGGTCCTGGACTAGGTGAACCACCCAACGGTGACGCTGATGGAGGATAACCATTGCTCATTTCCAACATTCCTCCCGGTGGATACACTGTAGTCAAATAATTTAACGCGTTAGACGTGGATTTCTCGAAAATGTCGGGAAATGTCTGCCGTTTCTGCCTAGTCCGTTTTTTAATTAAAGATACCTGAATCCGTCTCAGACGATGATGGACGTGGAGAAATGCTGGTATGTGCCATCTGTGGACTAGATCCAAGAAGAGATTCGCCGTAACTGTTCACTGGTACAGATACCGGTAGCGTGTAATTCGATTGTCCCATTGTCTGCAATCACAACAGACACAATGCAAATTAATAATACCTGCGGTGAATAGGTATATGCGCTATACCAAGCGGTTTATAGCAAATTTGCAATTTGCCATTGTCTTTAACTAATGTATAATGACACGTGTATGCAAACTCATTTAATATAATTCTGCTCATGTATATATAAGCGGCGAAGCTAATAATGTTATATAAAAATAATTGGATAAGTAATATTACCAAGATAAATACGTGAAATTACTCGATATAAAAATTTTAATCTCTCTTCTGTTTTAAATAAGAAGTAATTTTATTCAATTTTAATTGAATCAGTATTATTAAAACGTTATTAATTCTTATCAACTTTTATAAATTATAAAATATGTAAAAAAAACTTATTTTTAGTGATACGTAATTAAAACAAATATTTTCAAAATAATGATACATAAGATATTATTGCTCTGTATAATTTTATAATATTTCACATGTATAAAATAATAAAATATTCAATTTTTTCAACATCTGTTGCAAAAACAACAAAAAAAACCTTACCGCATCACGTCTTCTTTCTTCTGTAGAAAAATAAAAATAATCGAAAACTACATTTAGAGAAACTGTGTTATATAATATATGACAAGATGTGCAATAAGTTTTTGAATAAAACACGATATTCACACGTCAGTCATCTTGACAAGAACAAATTTAAGACGTTAACTTGTTTGGAAAGACTTTCACATAAATGGATCTAGGTGACAGTTTTAAAAATACTTTTGATAAGACATGTTAAGGAGCCTTGATGCTTTGAAAACTGTTAGATAAAAGAAGTCGGAAAATTATAATTCATTTTTCATGAAAATTATAAAAATTTTTACCGGGGCAAGTTAATTGGTATTTCGTAACGTAAAATAATGTAAATAATGTAAATAATAAGCGTATGATGAAGAAGAAACTATAACTCCTTTTTCTTGCATAAAATATAAGCCTCGAGATGACACGACTGACATTTAACCTAATTTGAATATTTACCCTGCTGCCATTGTGTTGGTGCCTCTGCATCATCATCTGAAATTCCTCGTCGATCTTCGTGTATTTGGCCTCGGTGCGCGGGGTAAGATTGTACTCGATTGCGTCAGGTTCCGGGCTCTCTGGAGACATGGCACCCTTATGTTCCTTCTTGTTGAGCGCCTGCAAGTGTCAGCAGACAGGTTCACGTGACCACACCGCCCGAGGGCACTCAACCTTCACATGCACGTTAATTTAATAACACCAAGACGCGCGCATCTCTCGTCCTACCCGTGGTATGTTCTCGCAATTTCGCTACGCATAGGAAAGGAAAAACGGATCGCTCCCGTCGAAGAGAGACCGCATCCCACAGTCACGCACGAGACTGGAATTGCCCAGCGCGTCAACGCATGGAATTCGAGTTTAAGTCCCTTTAAGTCCCTTAAGAAAGTCCTCCATATTATTTAGCGCGACATTTAGCGTGAAAAATAATCAAATAAGAAAGCTTCCCAAAATCTTCTAGTCTAGTTGAGTGTCATTAAAGCAGCGACATTAAAGTAGTAGCGTGTTGTAAAAATTGTATTGCAATGTATGTTTATATAATTTATATTTACTTTATAATAATATTTATTCTCTTAAAATTGTAAATTTAAAATATCTCCTTAATATGATAATTTATAAGATTTATATTTATAAGGCTACAGTTATTGAACCTATTAAAAGAATTGATCATATTCATCATATAAAAAAAAAAAAAATACCTTTAACGCGCAGTGTAGTTTTTGTAATTGAAGGAAAAAGAAATCTATTTCTTCTAATATTAAAACCGATGATCCTTTCCGCTTTTGTCGTTTGCGATTCGCATTCGAGCTTCTTCGATACACCCTGTATATTCGACATTGCTGTTTTGACCTTGGCATATATCGCATATATATGTATATGTATATATATATATCCACAAAACATGAGATATTCCTTTCGGCACTTAGTAGAGAGAGAGAGAGAGAGAGAGAGAAGGAAAGAGGTTTGCGAAAAAATTAGCGACGGCATCGATACTCCGATCCTTGACAAGGACCCCCGACCCGCCGCGTCGGCGCGTCCTCGTTCATCCTGAGAATCCGTGGCGGATAAATGGACTCACCTCGATAATATTCTTGTTGGTGAGGGACTCGTGGGGTTCGTTGTACTCGGTGTACTTGAGGAGAACCTTGTCCATGTCGGTGCTCGCATACTGGTACAGCTTGTTGCTCGAACTGAAGATAATCAGCGCGATCTCGCAGTCGCACAGCACCGACAATTCGTACGCCTTCTTCATCACGCCGAATTTCCGCTTGTTAAAGGTCACCTGTCGCATATAAAAGCAGAGGGGAGGGGGGGGTCGCATCGAAGGTGAACCTCAGTGGAATCTTCGGTGGCCCGGATCGAGAGGCGACTAAAAGGCGGCAAAACGGGCAGCCGCGCGAATACCTCTCTCTCGGTCCCGCGTTAATTAATCGTCGTTTTAATTATCCGATCAGTCACGTTACGTAAGATCCCAGATCGGTAATTAGCAAGTCCTTTTATACGCGCGCTCTTTCTTGCCACTCGTGTCTATCCGAGGAGCGCGAGCATGAATTTATTTTAAGGATGAAAAAAAATGCATGCTGCAGAAAATCATCGTGTTTACTCGAGACGATTACCTTAATTATACATCATTTCATATTCTCTACGTAGAAAAATGGAAAAAAAAAAAATTGGAATTTAAATGTCTGCCTAAAATATTGACCTGTGATGATACTCTTGGCATTCTTTCCGGATACTTTTTCTTACAAGGATAAAAAATAAACAAAAAGAGATTCTTCTTAAAGCTCGTGCGCTCCAATTTTCCTCGTTGCTCTCAAAAATATGTGCTAACCGTGATTAGCGTTCGAATCGTTACGTAAATAAGAGACGTCAGCCTTGTTTGACTGTAATTACCTGACGATTTCGTTCGTCCGTGATACGTGAAATCTGAATCTTCTTTCGACCCATTGTTGCACCACGTCTTGAATAAGAGGCAAGTCTTCGAAATCACTGGATGGAATATTAAGAACACTGCGAACGAGAAAAAGAACAATATTATTAATTTAATTCCCTTGGGAAATTAAAAATTACATTTAATTAAATTAAAATTATAATTTAAAACTATACAAACACGTTCTGTTTACACGTAAAATATCACTTTCTTACGGCCGTTCGTAAGGCAGAAAATATTATTACGGTTAAATTAAGAGGACAGTACATAAAATCTTATTTCGCAAATCGATTATTTAACAAACGTTTAACTCGATCGGAAATTTCGTGAATACCCCCCGTGATACTTTCACGAGCAAATTTTAAAGCGAGCGAAAAATCAGCGAGCGACGCGAGAAAAGGGACGCTTTTTAAACAAATCCCTCTCGGCTCTGTAGATTTAACGGCGTTTCGCGGTGTCGCTACGGAAAGAGGCAAACGCGATAAATAAGCACGACAGTTTGCGGAGAGCGACAGAACTGGACCGCGCTTTAAAACCTAATATTCAATGGAAACTCGAGCACGTGTCACTTTCATGTATCGATTACGATGATGTCGTGCGTTACGAACAAGTTCGCAAAGCGCCGGCTGGCGCGCGGCTTCAGAGAGCCCACGGACCGGCAAACAAAGTGTCGAATCGTTTACCACTGCGAGATTGCGGCTTTCAAGCGGAATAAAAGGGAACGATGTCGTGCGCGACGTTGTTATGGGAGGAGAACGTTGTATTTCAATCGGAATTGATAATTGAGCTACCGCGGCGGCGAGCTAATACAATACTGAATTTTTAACTAAGTGTTGAGATAAAACCCATCCCTCCATCCTCTATCACAGATATCTCTCTCCCTAAAAAAGGGAGAAGGAAATATTTATCTTTCACTTTTCGAAAAACAACAGACAACTGGATCGCTAATGATTATACCTTCGGCGAAACTCGAACTGTCGAACTAATCGATCTAGACCCGACGATGTCTAGGATAAAAAAGTAAAAAACAAAAGGAAAAAGAGATATTCGAAGAGCAGAAATCTTTGTATTTTGTTTTTAAAGTATCTTATTATTAAAAAAATTTGTAAAAAGCTTTTGAAATATAATAGCTTTCTCTCCGAGTGATGATTTGGTCTTGCGTCTCTCGATTTCTTATATTTAAGTTTCGCTCTATATATAAACGCGATGTCTTTGATAGGCGCACTGCGCTATCTATTTATTCGCCGTGCTAATATAAAATGTGTTATTTTATAATGTGTGCTTTACTCGCGCATTATTTTTAATATATAGTGGTTAAATACTAGAATTAACTGACCTGTCAATCTTGCATTCTTATAAACGTCCCTAGTCGACGCCGATCTGTCAGCAGCATTAATTCTTAATGCGCCATCCAAAAGAAGATTCGTCATTATTATTACAATACATTCTAAAATCGCAAACGATGGACGACAAACGGCACACAAATTAACGGCCGCGATATTACCGTAATACATTATAAATACGTAACTATTATGATACGGCGTAGAATTAGCCACAAGTGCGACCGAATTAAACGTTTCGAGCCCACAAATAAATTGTCAGTGTCGAGAGGAAGGGAAACTAATTTAAGCCGGTGGGTGTTTTTACAGGCGAAAAATAAGCTCTGGGTCAACGAGTTTGCATCGCGGTTAATCCGCGATATCAATTCTTCAATTTTTCAATTCTATCTCTTCTCATAGCGTGCCTTCTTATCAATCAATTCGAATCCCCTAAAAAATGATATAATTTCGAAGTTCATTTGGGAAAAAAAAAGAAAAAAAAGAAAAAAAAGCGAGAGAGATTTATATGTATTAAAGCCTCCCAACAAATTGTTGAAATTTTACAAATGTGGCTTGTAAAATTTAAAGTCCCGTTAATCGCTTGCCTTACTAACCCGAGATAATTCGCGCTTTGCAGATACACGTATAAAAATATTATTGCGAGATATTGAACAAGATAACTGAATTTTTTTCGTGTAACAGAGAAAACATACAGCACGTTTCAACAGGAGATGTAAAGTGAGGATCGATCTTCCTCTTTCCTTTCTTTCTTTTCTTTGTAAAAACTTGACACCACCTTTCTCGTTGGGAAAAGTATCGGATGGTGTAATTTGCCACGGTTCACCAAATTTCGGAATTGAGTGTACTCCTCTAACGAGTTTCAAACTAAGGAACCGAAATCCGCTTGCTCACTTCGCTTATTTTGAAGATTAATTCGCCAATCCCGCTGTTCTTACAGCCCGAGGGCTATCAAAGAGAGTCTCTACGGCTTCGTTAAGGAAGAAAAGAATGACACGTGCCATTTTGTTACAATCAAAAAGATTCGCGCGGCATCGTTGGAGGCCTTTTTGTGATCGTTATTACAGATTGTCGAGAGGTAGATGTTTGAGACCGCGAGAAATTCGAAACGAGAGTGATATCGAGTCGAAAGATGACGAGAGAAAGAGAGAGAGAGAGAGAGAGAGAGAGAGAGAGAGGAGGAGAGAGGAGGAGAGAGAGAGAGAGAGAGAGAGAGAGAGAGAGAGAGAGAGAGAGAGAGAGAGAGAGAGAGAGAGAGAGAGAGAGAGAGAGAG